AGCTGCAAGATATTGATACATATAATCATTAGTATCTTTTTCTTTGATATTTTACCAACCAGTTTCTTTCATATGATAAGTTATTAAACGGTGGGTGTGTATCTTGTTTTTAGGCACGCTCACCGCTACAACAACACCCGCACCCACCACCCTATTGAGAGTAAGAGAGAGAGAGAAAATGCAGAGATTTGATTGTTTATTATTAAATGTAAGTTAGTTGTTTTAGGTTTCATAAAAGTGTCTCTTATAGATAACTTCAATTGAAAGATTGATAACGTTGATGATTTTGACGAGAACATTTTCGAACTAATATCATAAAAGATAATGTAACAAATATACCAATAACAAAAGAAATTGTAATTATGATTCCACCAAACTTCCAATTCATACTCCAATTTGATTTCTTTTCTAAATGTGTTGCTAAATAATCATATGCTTCATCGTACCATTGTAAACCGACATCTGAATTATAGAGCATATTATTGATTAAACGAGAATAATAAAGATAAGCCAAATCCGTTTTTTTAAGTGAAGAATATGCTCTTGCTAATCCAAGAAGTGTCAATGTTCTATTAGGAAAATATGTCATAACATTTAAAAATTCATCGATTGCCTTTTCATATTGTTGTTGTTCTAGAAGTAATTCACCATAAAGTTCTTGACTAGGTTTAACAGGATCAATTGGAGGACCATAAGTTGGTGGATTTACAGATAATTCAAGTTCAGTTGCTTTCTTAGCATAATTCAATGCAATATTTTTTTCCTTCTGTGTTATAGCAATTCTGTAATATTCATGAAATGCTTGTAATTGTAATTTCATAGCTAGTATCGAAATGGAAAGTGTAGGAAATGTTTTATTTAATTTTATTGACATATCTGCTAATTGTTGAATATATTCTTCGACTATAGTTAATTTATATTCTTTATCATTTTTAACTGTAGAAAATCCCTTCACAAGTAACAATCCAGAATTAATTTGATTCAGCCAAAGTATATCACCTAGTGTTATACATTCCGAACATACAATTAAATCAAATGGATTATTAAATGTAAAAGTATAGTCTTGTGTTTCTACAATATGTCGATCGTACATAATACCGTATTGCATTCGATAATAAGTATCATTACTGAATACCATCTTGATACTTTCTAAAATTTCTAAAGCAATTGATTGTCTTCCCATATTTAAATATGCATAATGCATAAATTCAATACTATGATACTCTCGTTCAGAATTGACCCCATTATTTATTCCAACTTCATCTGATTCCAAATTTCCAATTAATGTTTCTTTATATAATCCTAATCGAAGATAAATATGTGTTGGCATATGTTGAGCATGTGGTGAACTTGGTGCTATACGAGAGTATTGTATTGCATTTGGTAGAGCAAATAAAGCACTTTTTGGTTCATCATAAACATGAATAGAATAATGTAATGCACCTGGATGATTTGGATTCTTTTTTAAGATCGTTTTTAAAATATCTATTTGTAATTGACGATCATTTGGATTGCGATTTAAATAACCACGAATTTCTGGTTGAGTTTTTGCAAATAAAATACAAACTAAAAATAAAGCTGCTTCATTATCTGTTGGAAATAATTGATAAATTTGTTTTAAAACATTAATATAATCATCGTAATGTATATTTCCTTGATTAAAAAATTTTCTTACAGCTGTAACATAGAGTTGTTCTCTTTGTGTTAAGTTTTCAAAAGAAATTTTTGAATTCATTAATTTTATTTGTTTCCAACTTTCTGTAGGATTTTCATTTAACCATACAGGTTTTGAATAAGTTAAAGATGAAAATGCATAGGCCATTGCAAATTCTGAATCAATAGTATAAGCTTGTTTAAATTGTTCAAATGCAAATGAATACAAAAAATTATGCAGAAAAGCAAGACCTAAAATAAAATGTTCTTGTGCTAAACTATTATTTGTACTTGTTGGAAATTGAATATATTGTTGACCAAGTGATGGTTGAAATTCATAGCATGAACTTTTTGTTATTGTTAATAATAACATCAGAGACACTATCATTAAATTTTTAATTAATTTTTTATCCATTTGAATGTCTATTCGTTGTTCTGTGCACATTGATTTAATGTATTCTATGCAACAATTATTGATTAGTCTATGAATTTCATCTGAAAAAGTCTTATAAGAATGATAAAGAATCTTTAACCCTCCCGATAATCTGCTAGCTATTGTCAGCCTTCCGATGTATTCGATCCTCATCTTAACTGTTAAAATAACTACACATCTGTTCATTCTGTATTAATGCGTGTATGAGGTGAGTGCAGTCTAATCGTTTGTCTATCGGTTGTGTTTCAGGATAACGTCTCTTTCACCGATTGTTTGAACATATTCTTCGGAAATTAGTGCTTGTTTATACATGATTATTAACTTAGAACATTAGTTAGATCCTAATCTCTCTATCTAAGATAGATAATACACATTTGTACCACGATCTCTTTCGTAAATAATAAAAGAATGGTTCAAACTACCTAAAAAAATGTTGAAAACTAAAGCTTTTTCTCTGTCAGATCACTTGATTATTTATCTGTTAAGCAAATCTTTTTTTTCTACGAAAAGCTGTTTGAAGTTTGATCTGTCTTTTGCTTTGTCAGAGCTCACACTATGTTTTCATACAATGAATCGACTGAATTACATTGCATTATTTTGTCCTCAAGTTACGTCATGTCAGGTGACTTCAATTTATCTTTTTTATAACTGACACAACATTCCGAACCTTTTCGACATTTGATAGTGATCCTACAAAAAGCGCAAAAAATACATTTTAAACATCTCTACTTACATCGTTCATCTTTGTTTACTATCTTTTGATTTTGATATGAAACTGAACAAAGACAAAAGTCAAGTCTCAGTTAAACGATATCTTATTCCATTCGATAACATCAAATAACATTCAAGTAGCAATTGCGAGCAGTGTATGTTTGTCGGATACTAATGAAATACTGGTTGTTATCTACGAAAAGCAGATAAAAATTGTTTGCGTTCTCTTTTGCTAGTCTTTCACACATAATCAGAAGACAAAGAACAAAGCTGTTGTTGATGTTGCGCAATATTTCGTCGTACTTTCTCAATAAGCTTCCAGTGTGGATGTAGATTTTAATCATTATCTTCCCCACGCCGGCACTTATACTATTTGTAGCTTTTCTCGTTCATTTAAATATGCTTGAAATGTTGGACAATATCTTAAAGTACAAATTAACATAATATTTTTTTCTTTTAATATTTGAAAACTCAAGAACTTATTTATTCGAAAGATATCTTTGAAAATGTTTTAAATCGTCTTAAAAATGGTACAAAAAAATAACGCGGAACAATTTCTATCAAACTTTGTTCCAGTAAAACTACAAGCGCTAAAATTGATTATCTTCCAGATATAGTAATGTTTCAACAAAAAAATCAACACAAGAAATTCTTAATTAATAGTCGGCTAACCTTACTTCACAAAACATGTCATTTGATTATTGAAGAAGAAACAATTCATGGTATATGATTATAAATAAAACAGAAAAAACAATCAAGTCTTTTTAAGAAATAAATATATCATGTTATACTAATCTTTGCAGTTCATCTTTTTTTATTGATCTTTCTTTTGTTTTTTTTTAATCTTGTTCTATATCTTTGCAAAAAAAAGAGAAACCTGATGAATAAACTAAACCTGTCGTCACCGAATGATGATATGTTTTTTTATTATGATGTTTTGTGGGTTTATTAACATTATATCATAAGTTGATGAAATTTTTACGAGAAAAGGTCAATTTATTTAAATATATTTATATAGAAGATTAAGTTTATACCAGTGTTTTATATAAGTCGTAGACCAGAATGGATAGCTGAAGGGATAGAATGTTTTTTATTGATGAAGAGTCAACAAATATCACAAACATTGAAGTTGCTTTCTTTTTTTTCAAGTTATCATGATTATGGTTATGCTCGAAGGCTGATCGAAAAATAGAGATGGTCATAATGATAGTCGCAAATTGAACATCTTGCGTTCGAATATAACTTGTTTCTTCAGTTAGATTTGATTGAAAAGAAATAAGCTGTATGAAAGCCTTGTTGGCATCGAACTGTTGAACTTGCTGAATATCCATGGTAATCTGTTAGTCGATTCGTCCAACGCATATCCATTGCGTTATTCAGTCTGCAGTATTATTACAAATTGTTGAATCAGTGTTTTATCCAGCATGAAGTCGGGGCAGTAGGCGTGATAATTTCAGTTTTGAATAGTTTTTCCTAACGAGACAACCTAAGTAAATTACCGATTTGTATCTATCCCATCTAATAAAATCATCAATTAAGTTCAGCACAATGTTTGCAGGATATAATCAATTAAATTTTCTCGAATATGCAAATGAAAATTTCACTAATTGTTCTATTCTACTTTGGTAATTCTGTTATCACAGATAAATAGTTTGTTTCAACAATCTTCAATCAAAGCCAACTTAGCTGTCAATGGCAAAGATGTTTTTGAATTATCTAATGGTTCAGCATCAACAGGTGTGGCTGCTGCTTGAGCTTTTAATTATTCTTTGAAATATATAGCAAATAGTTCAGGTACGATACAATGTGAAATTGAATTTCAATATAATTAATTTTTATTTTCGATAGTTTATTGGTCTGGAAACAATATTCGAATATCTAATTCAACATTATTTTCAATAACTAAACCAATTCGAATTGTTGCTAATGATTTATATGGTTGGTATGGAAATTCATGTACATTTAGTTATTCAGCTGCTTTTTGGAATTTTTCCAGATAAAAATTCTACTTTGTTGTTTTTCAAATAACTTTTTTTTTGTCTCGTTTAAAGATGGGAGAAATAAATCGATTCGATGGGTTTTGAATAGTATTAATTTAGTCTATGCAACAACTGAGATGGAATATATTTATAATAAAGTCTAGATTTTAAATTTACATTGGAAATATTGTTTTAGTTTTTTTTTCTTTTAGATATTTCTGCGAATGGGTTTTTCTCAATTTGAACTTAATGATTATTTTACTGGTTCTGCTTTTTTAGCTTGGTAAGAATATTTCATGCATGTATGAATAGAGAAAGTATTTCATTTAAATTTACAACTAAAGAAAGGCTTCGCATGGATAATCTTCAAAAATATGCTGGTCATTCATCAAACAGTTGGCATCAATTACAATTTCAATTTGTAAAACAGACTATTCAACGAATGACAGATATTGGAATTACACCAGTATTACCTGCTTTTACTGGTTTTATGCCTCGAACAGCACCGTTGTAAGTAGGAAACAATGATTGATGATTATCAGTAATTCTATTTGGATATTAACGTTAAAAATGAATTTGATATTCTTATTAAACAAGAGAAAAATTTAATTTCATTATATTTTTAGACGTTTTCCTTCAGCAAAATTTCATTATTCATCAGATTGGGTTGGTTTTGGTTGCAATGAATCTTGTTTTGTCTTCTAATCTCCTAGAATAATTCTGATTAATGAAAAAAAAAACAAACAATATATGTTTTAGTTTACCACATCTTGATCCTACAGATCCATTTTTTCAAAAAGTTGGAGTCGAATTATTAAACAAAGTATATCAATTAGACAAGATAAAGAAAAAAGATTCATCGTTTTGTTTTTTTCAAAATCTGATAATGACTGACTAAACCAACTGAGATTATTGAATACTTCCTCGGACAAAGAAAAGTATCAATGATATGATGAGTTCACTTTTCGAATTCTTCTCACATATCATTTAGTATTTGTTTAAAAGAAAAAAAAAATTCTAGAAATAGTCAAATTCTACTATGAAATCTTTCATAGTTCATCGTTTTATAGCGAAACAGAATAGTAGTTAAATAACTCAAACTGACGATTTAATATATGTCGATAATAATATTAATTCTGAAATATCTTATAAATAGACAATTAATTTTTTCAATTTAATTTCTCATTATTATGCTTGTGATCTATTTAATGAAATGACACCACCGATTAGGTAAAGTTTATCTTTATCAATATTGATATTAATTTTACAGTTTCATTTAGTGATCTTGAGTATTTGACTGATGTTAATGTAGGTATATTTCAAATTATGCAAACAGTTGATTCAAAAGCTGTTTGGTAGAATTATTTTATTTTTTATAATATTTTTATTTAGCCTTTATTTATGATAAAGGGTAATGCAAGCTTGTTTATTTCTTTCAAGTTTTTGGACAATTGATCGTGTAAGAAATTATCTTAGTAAAGTTCCAATAGTAAGAATTGTCTTTTTTTCTGTTAAAAATAAATCAATATATATATATATATATAACTTGAAATCAGGGTCGTTTAATTCTTCTCGATTTATATTCTGAAACTCTTTCACAATATTTACTTTTTGAATCGTTTTATGGACATTATTATATATGAAACATGTCACATGATTTTGGTGGAAATAATTATCTCTTCGGTTCACTTCTTAGTGTTACTAATGTAAATAAAATTTGTTTTGATTTAATTCACAAACTGCATGAAAATTTTCCGGTGATCATATGATTGGAGTTGGTACTGCAATGGAAGGTATTAATCAAAATGAAATCATGTATAAATTTGCTCTTGAACAATCATGGCGAAGTCCATTAAATGATAACGAATTAAATAGGTGGCAATTTTTATTCAAAGTTTTCTTTTTATATACAACTATTTAAATAAATTAGGCTCGTTGCCTTTGCTATGTGTCGATATATACGTGATCATTCAATACCTAGCTCAGCCTTATCTGTATGCAATGTTTCATAGATCTATTTTGATGTACAAGATTTGTTCTTAGCATGGGAATTATATTAGTTGATGCAACCAATGAAGTTAATTTCGATTTATTTCGTTATGATTTAGTTGATATAACTAAAGAAGTTCTTCAATATAAATTTGCTAGTGTTTACATTCAATTTATGTCTACTTATAATCAAAGTGATCTTTATGGAGTTAGGTCTGTCAGAAAAACAAAATTTATCTATGTTTTTCAAAAAAAAAATCGATTGATATATTTTTAGTACTCAAGCAGATATTCTTGTTGATATATTAGCATAAGATACAGAAATAGTATTAGCTTCCGATCGTCGATTTTTATTAGGAAATTGGATTCAAGATGCATTACAATTTGCAAAAAGTGAAGAAAATATTCATTTTTATAATTTTAATGCTAAACTTCAAGTATCAATTTGTGGAAAGAATTATACATTACAGTTGTATGATTATGCAAATAAATTTTGGTCATGATTGATTGAAAAGTATCTTATTAAATATGAGATTAATGGTATTATTTTATTGTTCTTTTTCTTTGTTTTAAAGTTATTATGCTCAACGATGGAAGGTTTTCTTTAATGTTGTTATTAAAAGACTTATCAAAGTATTATTTTAGTTATATTTGTTTCCAAAATAATCTCAAATCATTCTAGGGTCATCCAGTAGATTCAAATATTTTGAATGAACGTTTATTTCTTGAAGCTGAACCACCATTTTATCATTCATCTTTAAATGATATTTATTTGAAAGAAAAAGCTACAAGAAAAATATTTCCATTTAAATATCGTTCCGATTAAAATATGTTTGATGAAAATTAGAATTTTTCGAACTGTGAATCGACATAAAAAGACTTCTTTTGGTTATCGTATTTTTCTTTATTGTCATCAAAAAAATATTTCTGACATGGCATTGCTATATAAGTTGATTTTTACGATTTGTTCTTTTTTTTAAATTATTCACATAGATTATAGAAGAGAAAAACAAAATAAAGATATCGAAAGATTTTAATCAACTCATTTTTTAAAGCTTATTAAAGATTAGGCAACATAGACATGCAGCATTTTTTTAAAATTGAATCAGTGTGTCCAATACTAGGCTTGAACTTTTCGTTTCATATAAATTATATCTAGTCAATTATCATCTAACTATTCAGAAGAAAAAAGTTCAAACACAGATATGTATGAAAACCTACCACTTTGATCGATGACAAGTTCAATGAAGGTATTAGATGATTACCAAAAATAACGTCTCATTCACAGCATCATGTATTGACAAGTTTTCACCTTGTGCTAATCATATTCTAGATTGAGATTCCTGAAACTTACATTGTTCATCTATGCAAAGTTCAGTTCTTCATTTGGAAATCTAGGCTCTTGTGAAACTGAAAAAAAAACACACAGAATGTGCAATAATAAAATGTTTGGGCTTTTAATTTCAACTAAAAGCAGTAGAAATCTCTCTTTTTTTATTTTGTTGCTGCAACAATTAGTGTCATTGTAGTACACTTTACAGCTATCTAAAAGCATAGCTTAACTTTCGTAGAATTGTTAGTATCACCGACAGCTTGATCAATCATATCTCCCATTCGACTACGTGACAGAATTCACTCTCTGATTAACTCATTTCAGTAATATCGATTTCGTCGACTGATGTACAATGTCGATAGGTCATTAAACAAATTCTAGATAAGTGTGAGAAATTTCAGTATATTCACTTGTTCGTGAATACAAATGTAAATGTCTCTTTTCTTTAGTCAGCATAAACAAAATACTCTATATTGTACATAGTTGTGAAGGTTATTCATTTCGTTTGCTTGAACTATTATGAGGAAACATAAACCATGGAGGAAAATAATGTTCTTTGACACATTTCTGAAATGGAACCGGATAGTTGAGATCATGTATAACATTGCCACCAGCAAACCAGGCTGCCCACCAACTATACGTTCCTCCTGTGAGAATTGAATGTTCACACAGAGCTAATGCCGCCAAATCATGACCATGAAAGAAATTTGGTGGTGTAATAACAACATCATTGAAGTGGCCAAGGTGTTGTTTAACGAAAGTCTTATCATCAGAAGCAATCAAAAAACGACAATTCGTGTATTTTTGACGATAATGGTTCATGGCCCAAATGAGATATGAAGGACTTGTATCGATTTTAAAGAAACTCAAAAAGTCACCACGACGAATATGTACCCCTATCCATGTGACACGTGGCAAATCATTCGGCGGATGTAGAAGAAATGTTTTGAGTATATCATGTGTAACTTGACTATTATTGCTTCGAAAATTGATCGAATATTTCCATACCGCTGATTAAAGAAAAAACATTAAATTACACATAGATCATAACAGTAATAAAATATAATAATCATGTTTGCGTTTGAGAAAGTGTATCCACAGAGCGATACACATTCTCAGATAGATTGTTTTCATTCAAATGCTCTACAGGAATTTTAATTTTTTCTTTAGTTTGAATGAGAATCTGTTTGAAACTTCTCTGAAAAAATAACGCATTCTATTAGAAAAGTAACAATAGTACCAAGCATCTGAATAGGAAAAACTACATTGACTTTATTTCTAGTTCTGAACAGTAGAATAAGCGTACATACGATATGTGATCCATCGATCTCTTTATCGTCAGCTTGCACTTCTTTTCATAATGCTTCAAATTATATTGACCTAGGGATATTCGACTGTTATCAATACAGAACCGAGAGAAGAAGAACCATGGATCTATCGTGAATATATAGTTTTGTCTGATTCCTACATGAGTTTCAGGCTGATTCGTTTTTTATCTTAGATTCTCAAAAATTCAAGATCAACTCAAATCGACTTGCGAATCGCAATTCTCCTTTTTAAGTAAATTTCGATTAAAGAAATATAGAAAACTATGGCTCTTTTGTGTTTGAAAAGAGGCTGTGAATGAGCATCGAATCATGCATTACTGATTGTCTTCAGGAAGACTTTGATGATCTCTGATCATATTTATTCGAAATCAACGTAGTCTGCAAGTTCATTCCAGTGAATATTCAATTAGCAGAGGTTGATTAGCACAAAACTAAAATTTGTACAAAACTCCAATGCTTTTTCTCAGAGGGCGAGAACAAGAGCACTTCAGTTTATTATTGTTCGAATGTGTTCAAGTCTAACTAGAATGAAATCTAAGATAGATGAATAATGTTGTATAACTTACATTTAATCAGTTCCTCAACAAATGGAGTTATGTATCCGACTGTTCCACTGTTGAATTCAAACAATTGAGCAACTTCTGTACGAAATCGATCGAAATAACCGAACGCTTGATAAAAACCTAGCAGTTCATATTTGGTATAATTCTCCGGTAGCGGTATTTTGAATAAATCTTCAAACAATGTGCATGCACTATATCGTCGAAAAAGATCAGTTCGATTTTCAAATGCTGCCGGATTTTTCACTAGTTTCACTGGAGTTTGATTTAGATTGACTGTGAACGTAGATCGTAAGTCGAAAATAATCCATGGATGTACATAAAGGTGACATGCATGAAGACGAGCCAAGCCATAGGCACTAGCAAACAGGAACATTCGATTACCAATGGCTCCATCGGAAAAACGAATTCCAAAAATACATGAAGTGGGTAGTAGAGAATCATTGAGCTCAGGATCTGTCTTGTTTTCAGCTAATGCTATAGCCACGGGTGAACGTGCATGTCGAGATAAACCCGATGAAAATACTGAAGATGACACAAAGAGTGCATTCGATTTACGAAATGCATATAACAATTGATAGAAACCTATTAATAGAACGAGAATACCAACCATCATGATACTGCGTCGAATGACTGGCTGCCATGTTCGAAGATGATGAAAGTCGATTATATCATGTGCAATGTGAGTGATTCTATTCTTGATGAAACTCTCAGAAGATGAGAGAAGTTCTAACAGTCGGTCCATTGTTATTGATAATTGACGCTTATGCCGGGATATAAATTTTTTTATATTAGTGGTTGTAAAAATGTTTCTTTGCACGGTTCAGAATGTTGTCAACGATTTCTTTTTCATTTTTCATTTTCTTTCTTTTCTTCAAATGTAAATTCAGCTACCTAAAATCAATCACAAGTCTGTTCTTTTTCGTCTTCTGTTCTTCTATACTGTGAATCGAGTAATAGCATTCTTTTGAAAGATGAAGACTGTCACATGCTGCATGACAAACATGTGCTGTTATTTTGAAGAACCATCAACTCGAGCTTTTCATACGACTATAATATAGACGTGCAGTTCATTTTGAAGAACTTTGCGATCAATCAGAAATTCGGCATTGATTTTGTCAGAGGCTGCAAGTGAGAGTACTTTGTTTGACGCCCAGAATAAAAGGAACAAAATCTTTATGAACAGCTAATTGATCTGATGGCAATGCTCCATGATGTAAACGAATTAGTTCAAGTAATCTTTCTTTATTGATACTATTATCCTATTGGTAATTGTCGTTTTTCAATTCGATAGCATTGCCATAATCTAATATCTTCTAATAACTGTTCATCCATTATTTCTATTGCATGACTTATCATTATGCATTGTTGAGGTTTGAGATATGCCAAGTACAGTATGAAAATGAGATTTAATGTATGATTGTATATGTTATGGTAATGTTGAATGTGCTGATGTTGCTACTTCAAGAGAACATTGAATAGTTTAAAAACTTTTATTAGTTGCTTATTCAATTGGAGAATATGTAAGAGTTTCACGATATGAGTGATGTCGAAAAGAGTGCTATAATTAATTTGATTTTAAGTATAGAATTTAATGATTGACGTGTAGATGGTTCAAAATTAGTTGATATTGTTGATGATGATGATGATAATAATTGAGATAACGAAATAAAAGATAGTATGGATGAAACTTGAAAAGTAGGATTTAATAATTATTTTACAATTTTATCAAAATAATCTTTATTAACTAGTATGTGATAAATTGAAAGTTTCTAAAACAAAAACAAGTTTAGCAAAACATAAATTAAATGTCAATTATATGATATAGAAGTTTTTTTACAGCTATTTTTCAAGAATAATTGATCACCAGTAAAACGATCGATCTTATTCTCTTCTGTATGTTGAGCAGAAATTTTCATTTTTATTGATACTCTAGTTTTTTTTTGCCTTTTTGGGTATTCATTTTCTTCTTTTGTTTTTCTTTATTTAACATTATTATTCCATTGACTTAACAGTACATTTTCACCCACACCTGCATGTCTATCCATTATCCTTAATATCTTGAATAAAATATTTTTCTATCGCAAATGCTTTTCAATGGCTTTTTTTTCTTTGATCAAGAAGTCTCGAAAAAGAATAAGGTGTATGCTGTCCTCGGTTGCTATGGAGGATGAGAGAGTCCACGAAAAATAGTCGAAAACTTCTTAATTAAAAAGAAGAAAAAACAATCTCTCAATAAGAGTGGCAACATTGTAAACAATAAATTAATATTAGTATATAATCTGTCGCTGGTACTTTTAACATATTTGTTATAATACTCTGTGCAAGTAAAGTGGACTCCAACCTCTTTCAAGAACTGTTGGTTTGAAGCAGAAGAAAACATGAAAATAAAAAAAGAGTGCGGGTGTCGGAAGGGATTCCCTTGAACCCCATCACTCACTACCATTTAAACCAGCTCTGGCATTCACACTTGTAGTCGCACCAACACTGACAATGACACCATACTCTCTAAAAATTGTTTTCGCAATTTCACAGCTCCATCAGAATTAATTTCGATAAAGTTTTATGAAAATACATGAATGTAACAATTTTAATTTTAAAAATGAATTCTAGTTCATATGCTGCATGTGCTAGAAAAAAATCCGTTGTATTGACGGACGTTTTACGAATGGCGTTTTCCATTTTCTTCTTGTAACTCTTTCTCTGATTCGTCGTATTCGAATTTTTTTTGTTTTTATTTTTAATCATAATGTTTCGATTATTTTTCGTTCGACCAATATTCGCTTTCCGGTTTTGAAATAAAGTAAAGCGTCAAGATTAACAAAATCTCTACCCGTTTAAATATAATTTTAATAAAAGAATATAAGAAGAAATCATCTAGGTCATCCATATTCAGCAGATGTCAACGAACAGAATTAGAGGATGAAAACAATATTTACGATCACTGTAACTAATACTTCAACATTCGTTGGAGATAAATGAGAATTGAAAGTTCAAATAAGTCTTCAGCAAATATCCTTACGTGAACTATGTATTATTGGTATTTTTTTAGGAATTATGTATTGTTTGAACATAATAAAGATGAAACGATATTCTCTGTCAGTTAAATAGTACTTAAGAACAGCTTTGATTCACTCCATATTAGTGCCATGATATAGAATTATTGAAAGAGGTAAATAAATGTTAGTGTTATTATGAAAAAGAGTCTAGAGACAATCGTCAATGATTGCTCGCTAAGCAAAAATCATGATTTCTTAACAAGAACATTAATGACTTTTTTGGAACTGCGTTTGTTCTAATGAAATATTAGTCTTTATAAAATATGTCTGTTTTTATATGATAGACTTCCGTTCAATGAAGTTTCTAATAAGATTCCTTATCTGTTAACTCGTGTTGTTGTTTCAGCGCAATAACTTTTTGACGCCATTCTCTATTCTTATCGAAGTTATCAACTTGTGATGCAAGTTTACCAAGATTCTGATACAAATCATAAAGTAAAGAGTCATCAAGTGAGAGTTGTTCTAAAAAGCATATAAAACATTTTTCAGACAAATCAAATTTATTCATCTTCGAAAGTAGTTCTCCCAATGTTCAAAGATCTGTTGCTCCATTACCAAATTGTTCTTTCATATTCATGAGAACGTGTTTTAATCCATGTTCATTATCGCTGCATACTACCATTGGGATAACTCATAGTTGACCATTAGTCGCTATGATTGACGCTTTTCAAACGAAAAATAGGACCAAGCATTAAAGGTATTTCCGATTCTCTAGGCAATTCAGCACCCATCACAAGATCAGCATCGATTTCAAATAATACTCGGTTTAAATTGTCTATAGCATTAGAAGCGTTGAGTAATGAAAGAGTTTGCTGTTTGTTAGTACTGGTGGAAAAAAATGAATTCACTGAAATAAACTGGTCACGACATTGTTTCAAAGTTTTCAATTCATCACTTAATATCATCTGGCTTCAATAAAACTGCACGAAATAAAAAAGAAACGTAAATGAATATCTTGCTTACATAGAACTGTATTAAGAGTCTTTTATAAGAATAACTCTCTACTGTATCACCACAAAACTTGGTTAGTTGAATAATCTTTTTCAAATTCATCAAGATGGACTAATTCAACATTATTACTTTTATATGACTCTTTACAAAGATCAATAAGTTCTTTTTTATCTGTTTAATTGGGTTTTAGCCGTCGAATCAGAACTTGAAAAAACACAAATTGCCTATTTACATCCTTCAGCCTAATTTTACTTTTCCAAATTTGCAAGCCTATTGTTTGTTATTTTTCTTATTCATGCAATATACAGATGAATATGATTTGTAGAAGTTTATGAATAGAAGAGATTATTTCTTGTTCAATTGACCACTAACAATCATTACGAATTAGTCAATCGTTTTGTGATCGTTCCTCAATATATGTTTGACATAGTTTTACATCTTAAAATTTTATGAGATGATTAATGATAAAAAGCAATCTTTGTTCTGTATCTGGATTCTCTTCAACATTCGTATTGGTATCACGTCAGATAAGACAGTAATTTTCAAAATGTTGATTGTCGGCGTTCGCATGAAAGTCAGGAACTGGTGGAACAGGAGTCGTCATTTGAATCAGGAAAATTAAATAGGATAGAAGTTTTGAATCTTGTTTATTCGATATAGTTACCGAATGTATGCATGGATTTGGCAGTTCAAAACGAATGTTACACTCTTAATTTTATTATTTTAGTTATTAGTTTTTAAGATACTGTGTTTTTCCTGAATTTGATGCAACGTCAATGGATAGATGAATAATATGTTTCAAGTCGTCGAAGAAATTGATTTTGCTCAAGCCCATAGCTTTTTAAGGTAAAATCATCGAGTTATGGTCTACCGCTTTAGCGTGGATCTGCATTATTTGCATCTTTTTCGTTTAGTTATCTAATAAGATTGTAAATCAGACGATATCATCTTTAAGTAAGCTCGATAGGATCAGCTGGTAGGATGTAGATTTTTAATTTCAATCAGCATGAATCATAACCCGTGCTTTCCTTTTTCGAAAACTTCTGCTACAAACTTAATTGCATCTATCAAATTCATGTGTTTTTTGTTCTTAGAAGAGAGTCGTACATTCAAATAATGGTATTTCTTATCTGATTGAAATAGTTCTATAAAATGGTCTTGAAAGAAATAACAAGTTCAATGTTGCTACAAAAAATTGTCATCTTCGTTGAACTTTTCAAATATAGAATATGGAAATATGCATCGTAGTCTTCATTCTCTAACTATCATTAGAGATTATTGAAAGAGATTACAATCAAGACTATATAAGCTCTTTGTTGCTTAAAATCCTCGCTAATGTTGAAAACATTTCAAAAAAAAAGATTATTCTGTGTAATATCTGAATGCAGAAATCTAAGAAATCTTCTCTGGGATATCAAGCTCATTCTTTCGATCATATGTTGATTTTAAATCTTAGATACCACCACTCATATCTATAAAAAGTTATAATCCTTTTGTTATCTTATACAAGAAAAAACATTTTTTTTACATAGACAATGATGAACATTCCCTTTTTCGTCCTAATCAGATGACAAACGAAAAGAATGAGTTCTTTATTCGCTGTACA